CTAATCAAACAAAATGATAGTTTGATCCAATTCAATATCTCACCAAAAACAATTCTTGGATGTGCTCTTGATTGAATAAGATCCAGAGTTCATGCGCAAGACATATTTACTCAAACTTCAGATTCGCTCTGAAACAAGATATAGATTTACTCATTTCAAGATTATATTTTGTCATGCATAAATGACACTTTTATTTGCTTAATTCAATTAAATTTTGCTTGATTAACAATTCTTGTTTTTTCGTGTACTAATGGGAAATCATAAAGGGGGCCCATAATGGGCATATCTAGTATCCTCAAATTTTACCCCTTCTCGCTATAATGTTATGAAGGGAAGTTGAAAACGTTATTTCTAACACAAATTCATCGAAAATACCGAACAATGAATCAATTATTTTTGATATTGAAAATGCAATTTTAAATTTTTAAATGTGACGACGGCTGGGAAGCACGCCGCGCTGTTGCCAGGTCTCTATGAAATCCTTGAATTGATCCTATGTGCAATATATAATTCACTGCTGATCACATTAATTTCACCCTGAACTACGATGTTTTCCATTACTTTCAAGATTAGGTATCTAACAGTAAGACGCTTTTAATATGCTAAGTTTGATTTTACTTATGATGTTGAAATTCCCGGAAAATATGATTGCGATTCTGGCTATGTCTACAAGAGTTCATAGCTTAAAATTTTATTCAAAACTAAAAACATCTTTCATTAACAGTTTTACCATGCTCATAATAACCATGTTTTAGCCTTTTTCTTCGCCACAATACTTTCTTTCTGGCTGATGATGAATACTTTTTGGATCCGAAACATATATCCCCTCCTTCTTGAATTTGAAATTATACGTTGTGGAGACGACTTGGAGAGTTTTTCTAATATTATTTTTACTACTTCACTCTACTTTGAGATAACATGATGAGATGACATGATGAGATAACATGATGAGATGAGATAACATAACTTCTACAGTAGATTAATGAATGATGATCAACCACGTTCCTTCGTTCAGATACATTCAATCATCGAAGATATGAAGGATTCAAAAACGACTAGAGCGATTCGTGACTTTCTCGAATATCTTCGATATTTTGCTTGATTCTCACCCGTTCAATTCACAGTGCGTCTGTATCTGACAATTCAAATTCTCTCTATCCTGCATCAGCTCTTTCAGCGTTTCTTCGCAAAGCTCGCAGCTGAATTTCACTTCTGAAGGTGAAGATTGAAGACAAGCAATAGTCCTCAGATCGTTGCTGGACATACTCCTCATCGGTTCCATCTTCACTCTAGCTCTAGAAAATGATACAAATTGATTTTCCATCAATCAATCCTTCATGACAAAGAAAATATATGACTATTGTCATATGGTCGATGCAAAGAAAATCCTGTTTTTCCACCAGCTGATTTCTACAACACTCCCATTAGAAAAATTTAGCTTGCAGAAATATATAATTTGGTACTTAGTCTTGTCTGCTCAGCAGGGGAATTCTCTATTTCTTGATCAAGTCGCGATCGAATTCGACTTCGAAAATCGTCGGTTTTTTGGCGTAATGGGAGAAGATTTTGATCCAATGGAACGAGCACCGGGGCCATAGTCCCAAAGCCATCACAATTTTTAGGTTATGGTGGTTATAACGTTTTTATGAATTTTTTCAATCCCAAGACGAAAATGAAAGATATTTCAGCAGCTGAAGATAGACAAAGAAATTTGGATCCAATTCGTCGATGACAAGAACTATCTAACAGAAGTAGGTAACTACATAATCCTTTATTAAGCTATTTAAATTGAACAAAAGGTATATATTATATTATTTGATAATAAGTTGATTACACACTTTCAAAGCTGTGCTTTCACATAAACAAGTATCCTCGAATTGGGATGAGGATGAAAAGAAACAATCGATGATAAATAAGGATAGATTGACAAAACGTATCGACTCGACTACTCTTGAGCAATCGAGGAATCGAATCGAGTTTACACGATTCATTCGAGACACAGAATACCAAATATCGAATAAAGATGGCCGATTCGACACGATCCGTGAAATAGAATCTTCCTGCACAGATCAGAGTGACTGCAAAAATTGAATGTATAAAGCTTTACCTGGTAGAGTTTTTCCTAACGAGGGTATGTAAACTTCTGGGTTTCGGTCTAGTGATTAGTGGTGGAAGGAGCTTCTTGCTCTTGGCGCTTCTCAACACAGGCATTTTTGACAAATTTTACAGGCAAAATTAACGCGACTTTGATTGACGGCGGGATTTTGACTTTCAAGAAAAGTTGAGTGACAGGACAATACCGATTGTTTCTGAAAATTTATCCACAATCTCCCTGATATACAAGGTGAGTCATGAGGAACTGTACATACTCCTACCACGAATAGAGGCCCCTGAGGGGAATATCTTTTCAATAAATGATATCGAGATTTTTTTTCTTAAAGTTTATAATTGTGACAACAGTGATATTTTCGAAAAAATTCATAACTTTGCATTCCGATTAAAAAAAATGATTTCGACCCTCTAGATTATTTTCGGTGCGCCCTGTATATGTGGCAATAATTTCTAGTTATGGACCTTGTTATCTCATTCACATTCGTTTTCGAAACTGGTTTCTAGCTATCATAGAACTCGAGCAATCGAGCTCCGACGCACTAATACCCCACCCTGTATATCCGCTGTTTCTGCAAATGTACTATCAGCAACAGAAGTATAGTAAATTGATACCTAACCTCCTACTTCCAGGAAGTGTTCCTGATGCCCTGTATAGGTAAGTTATTATTATACCTTATCAAAACATTCTGGAGTGATTATCAACCACTATGTCAAGTACTCTACCCGATTTCTCTCCATCTGGTCAAAAGAATGACGAGCATTATCTCTGACGATACGTAGCCGACAAAAAATGATTGAGTTCAGAGCTACTGGTTTTTATTAATGGAACCAGATAAGATCGGATCTCATTATATTTTTCGAGAAATAATTTACTTTTCTGAAAGAAATTGTTTCTTCCTTGGGCATCATCAGAGCTTCATGGTGAAGTTATAATGAAGTAGGCGATAAAAAATCTTATTATTGTGGAGAAGTGGATCAGTGGAAGGAATGCGATGATAATATATTTTAATCATTAATGATTACTCACTAGCTCTTAATTCACGCTTAATCATCCATTCTGAAAAAGAATGTAGCTCAAAAGTTTTTGGAAATAGGCAAGAACCCTCTTTTCTAGTAATAATAAATACTATGACGTCTCATCGCGATGCGAAAATACATAGATGATTTTTTTTAAATGTTTTATCCCTTCTAGATTTCTTCTTTCGATATTTTAACACTTATCACTCTCAAGATTCAACGGATTTTAACAATAGCATGGATGAACTGAGCAAGACAGTTTGAAACTCACTTGTTCTTGTTTTCCTATATACACTGGCTTCATCTGGATTGTGGCATGTTATGACATAGATATCGAAGTCATGTCACCAGAATTTGAGGTTTATTAAAAAGTATACCAGAATCGTTTAGTTAGATTGTTTCATGAAATTATGTTTAAACGAATAATTGAGAAGTAGACCGAATTTCTTTGCTGCTCATCGAACCTACAACGTGCTATAACCTACTCGATTACTCATTATGTCAGCTTTAAACTTTGAGAATTGGAAATGATGGAATCAACATACCATACAGTACATACTATATTGATGACATCTACTTCATCAATCAATATCATATTATCTCACCAGTTCACAGTAGGATCGATTCTCAATTGGGAAAAATTTGCTTGATATTCCCTTGAAATAAAACAGCTGGCAACACAGGAAAAGGGAATTCACGCATTCGTGTCCTTGTGGCTGATTAATATCCTACCTTCGGGGTCTTGCACACAAATATAGATAGAAAAGAAACTATATTCTTCAGCTTGAGGTTCTAACGTTGATACTCTCTACTTATCGCATGAATTCTATCAGAACGAATCATTTATGTCAAAGAGTCCGATCCCATAGGAGGAAGCCCTTTTAAAACATAATTTCTTGGTATACCCACCCTGACGGGTGAGGGAATGACTACTAGCAAAAGCATTTTCGGTACACCTGTTCATGGGAACCCATTTTTTTTGTTAATCTGTTGGTTCCATTCATCACATTACAAACTTTTACTTAGTTCAACATGTCCTGGTATCTGTTTGTTATCAAAACTTGCATGTTGAATTTGACCCACTGCCATTCGTCGGATTGATTTGAAATTTGGCAAGTAAATATGATCACTGTGACAATTCGTTATGACATTATTATTGGAAGGAAATAACAAACAGGCCGATCCGATATGAGGTTTTTGGAGTTTCTAAAAAAAATCAAGTTGGCGACTTCAATATTCGATTCAAAATTGGCATCTGCCGATAGCGGACGAGTTTTGTGATTATGGTCCTATTTTATTCAAAATTGATTACTGCATGGGGCTTTCAGGGTCCAACATTATGATATTCTTGTCAAAATTCAAGAAGCTATAACACGAAGGCTGCAAAATGAGAGTGGAAAAATTTTTGATAACATCACTTGTTCATGAAAAAACTAAAGAGTTGAAATAAAAAATTGTGAAGAGATGACTCTTCGGTTTTTTCTTGGAAAAAATGAAGTTGTTCACTTTTGTAAATTTTTACAAGCCAAATGACGTACATACGTGAATGGGCGTATTCAAAATGTTCAATAGGTCCTGAGAGGAATCACGACTCATCTACGACTCATCTACCTACCATCAAAGGCAATGGAGTTAAAATTCAACGTTATCAGCCGAAGAATCTTATCTTTTACTATCGCCAATTTCAACAGTGATGTCCATCAGATCTTGAATTGTGTGAGAGTGGATGAGAACTTCAATTTCCTTCACACATGAAAAATTGTGACAAAAATTATTGAGTAGCCCTCGTATGTTGAGTGGTAGACCCACATTCAAATATTCGCGCTTCCGAACAGCTGACTGACGGCGCTACAGCGCAGTATTGCCGTCAACTCAGACATTCCCGGCGTTTGTTATTGTTTGTGTTGTGTCTGTGGCTGTGCCGAAGGCGAAAGTACCTTTTTACCCGAATGAAAACAAGCCAAGTACGATCTTTCACAGCTTCGCATATCAATTACACAACTCAACAGTCGTTATAGACGGGTAATTACATAGTACATCGAGTGGAAACTGCCAATTTTCCAGTGCTTTGGCGTGTATTCCGCGATAGACCATTTCCTAACCTAACTTTGTAACTGCTGTTAGAACGGATGTTATTCGTAGAAAAACGGTGGTATTGCTAAGAATTCAAGTGATACGAATCGTTGTGGATCTTCCTCGGGTTCGCTAGGATCGTCTGAAATGGAAACGTCGAGTTATAGTGAAACTTCGTGCGAAAATGTGAACGCTGTTGATTTGGCCTCTTCGCTGGCATTCAGGCCTAGAGGATCATTAGCTAGGGCTTTGTATCGCAAAGAGAAACACGACGAGTATCTCAGCCAGTTCGATAAAGCAGAGGTGAGTTCAGAAAAACTATTATAAATGAATGTTTATGTCATACAATATTATAGAAGTTTTGTCTGGAGTGTCTAATGATCCGAGCGTCCGTCCTTATAAACCGAGTATTAACGTGATATGGAATGTTGAAATACGAGGTAGATTTATGTAGGGTCCCTTGATGAAAATTGACGTTAAAGTCATCTTTACAGGGTACGGACAGATCATAGCTGCATTCTTTTTTAATGATCTAGAGACTTTAGTTTTGTCTACTGGCATCACTGACATTGCTGTCACGTCACATCCATGGGCGCTACAGAAAATCATTCAAAATTTCAATAATAGGTATGTACAGGGTGTTTACTTGTTGGAGATCATATGGCGAACGAGTTTTGTAATTATGATCCGATTCTATTCAAAATTGGAAGATATCTGGGGTTTTCCGGGGTTGGAGATAATGATGGTTTCGTCAAACTTGGAAAATTCAAGATGACCAATCCAATATAACAGGCTGATTCACGGTGGATGGCACATTAGACGTTTCTGGAAAACGCAACTCAGGATTATTCTGAAAAGTTGGTGCCTTGAATAATTAGTTGTGTTCTATCGACCTGAAATATTCTCAGCGCTGCCACCGTGAATCAGCCCGTATAGCGAAAGAAATTTCTAATTATGATCTGATTCTATTTAAGATTGGTATCTGGGAGTTTTCGGGGTCGAACTTTATGATTTTTTGTCAAAATTGAGAAATTCAAGATAGCGGATCCAATATGGCGAACGAATTTTGTAATTATGATCCGATTCTATTCAAAAATCAAAATTGGAGGAGATTATAATTAATTCGTCGAAATTGGGATTTTCATGATGGCGGATCCATTATGGTGGAGTTTTGTAATGAAGATTCGATTCTATTCAAAATTGGTATCTGGGGGTTTTCGGGGTAGGAGATAATGATCGTTTCGTCAAAATTGGAAAATTCAAGATGGCGGATTCGATATGGCGAAAGACATTAGTTTATATGATTATTACTCTACCACAAATAGAAAATATGTAGGATGCAAGAGTGAAAATAACGTGACTATAAGTTATACTGCGTATACCTACATCTTGTTACTTTTATCAATCAATTGTTCGAAAATGACTTTTAATTTGAGGGGGACGGAAAAATCCTCGGAAAAATCCGGAAAAATCATATGTATAACATGGGGGTAAAGTATATTCTATTCTTTATTTTCTTGCATATTTTATGTATTACTTTTTATCAGCCAACTTTTCGTCCTAGACCGAGGGGTGGCTCACTATGGTAATATGGTGTACATCGTGCCAGTAATATATTACCAGTACAGTATTATACTTCTAGTATTACCGGTATTACTTGTATTATCAGGTATAATTTGGTAATATTTCATATGACAGGTATTATTGGTAATAACAGCTAGTAATATTGGAATATTGGTAATATCTGCTTGTAATATAGTAATATAAGTAATATTTTTTTTTTTTTTTTTTTATCGATTGGAGCGCACGAAAGGGAATCCCTATAATGTTCAAAGAACATCGTGCGTTCCTAGGGAGGATAGGGACAGGAGGTAGGTATTGGAATTTTTTTTGAATTTTTGGAGATTATATGTTGTTGGAAATACTTCCACAGGCAATGAATTCCAGAGCCTAGCCGTTCTATGGATGAAGGAGTCTTGATAAAGTGCTGTTCGACATCTTTCGAGGCTGACAACGAAAGGATGTGCTGACTGGGCTTGTCTAGTTCGTCTGATTGGTATTGCTAGTGAAGGGATGATTGCAGAGATTTCCGAAGAACATTTCCCGTGGAAGTATCGATAGAAAAGTGAAAGGTCGCCGACCTTTCTACGGTGTTCTAAAGATGTCATTTCAATAATATGGTAATATCAGTAATATCTGTCAATAATATGGTAATATTGGCATTATTTTATAGTAATATAGTAATATTCGTGATATTCCAAGTAATATTAGTATAACGCATCAAGTAATACATTGTTAGTATTTCTAGTAATATTATGAAAAGGAGTATTATACGTTCTAATGTTCTATGAGTCAATTATACCAGATGTCGCAATGAAAAATAAACATTCGCCACCTAGCGAGATTTTTGAAAGCTGTCTGTCAGGTGCAGCAACATGTTATTTTCTATCTTGAGTATCTTTACCTCGATCTATGCCTACCTGATCTCTATGAATAGAATGAGTATCAAAATACCATTTCGTTATTCTAATTTATTGATGGTTCAATATGTATTTGCATGAACTCAGTGTTTCAAGACTAATGGTTGAGTAATCGGCGACTAGGAACACCCAAACAACCACAAAGGTATTGAGGAATTGAGTAGACCTAAATAGTTATTTGCTTTACATGGGAGAAAATAACAAGATTTGATGCAGGCAGTTAAAGTGCACCTTCTATGCCTTTAAGTGACATTAAAAAGCCATGTTTAATGTCATGTGGAGAAAATCTCGGAGAAAATAACTATTTATTTTTATGTTGGCAATACCATGCAATACTGAGTATTATTGGAAATATGTCTCTGTCAGCTCGAATGGAATACTTTCTAGATCTATACTAAAGAATAGCAACTCATCTGAACTCACGGGATATCACTAATAACTAGGTATAATATCTGATAATACCAATAATACTCAAGATATTACTAAATATCACAGATTTTTCAAAATATTCCCAAATATTTCCAAGTTATGCCAAATATTACCAAAAACTACCGAATATTACCGAATATTCCCAAATATTACCAGATATTACCAAATATTACTGAATACTACCAAATATTACTAAATATTACCAAATATTACCAAATATTACCAAATATTACCAAATATTACCAAATATTACCAAATATTACCAAATATTACCAAATATTACCAAATATTACCAAATATTACCAAATATTACCAAATTTTACCAAATATTACCAAATATTACCAAATATTCGGGAATATTACAAAATATTACCAATATCACCTTCCAAATAATGTTTAGGAACCTGATAAACCACATTTATTATTACTAGTTCATACAGGTAACCACCCTTATCACTATCATTAATTCAACTATTATCAGTAGGAATATCTATACATATTTGGACAATTAAACTGAGGTCGAATTTTAAATCGATTTACTCATAGATCCAATTATAAATTTCTATTCGGTTCTCACACTTGGTTAGCCCCATCTTTCAGTTACTCTCCAGAGCAATATGACACTATACACACAAATTTCTGGTGTACAGGATGATAATAATTGAAGTAGTGTAAAATTGCAGCGGTGTCGTTATGATTCCGTTTGTGCAATTTTGTTTTTTCGACCTTGTTCTATAAGGTTCTATATCGTGATCATTTTTCGAAATTCTTTCTTGGACCATGAACCAACATGCTCAAAAAAAAAATTATGAAAGTATTTGAAGTTTATTTCGTTTATCAGTTCAGTTGTCGAAATATATAGACATTTCTGCTGGTAATAGTTGAATTGATGATGGTGGTGAGTGAGGTTACCTGAATACATTAGTAATTAACGAGGTAATTAATGTCATTCATCAGGTGCCCATCATTATTTGGAAGGTTATATTGATGGTATTTCGTGATATCTGGTAATATCTGGTAATATTTGGTAATATTAGGTAATATTTGGTAATATTAGGTAATATTTGGTAATATTTGGTAATATTTGGTAATATTTGGTAATATTTGATAATATTTTGTGGAATTTGGTCTTATTTGGTAATATTTGGTAATATTTGGTAATATTTGGTAATATTTCACATAACCAGTAATATTTAGTAATATTTTGAGTATTATTGGTATTATGGTAATATCCCCTAAATATTACTGATATTACCTGATTTGGTAATATGGTGTACAAAATTTAGGCAAGTGAGCCACCCCTCGTCCTAGACAAAGTTTTATACATGATATACGTGATATTAGTCACTCCATGAATTCTTCACCGAGCTGGATTTCCAAAAATATATTGAGCACACATGAATAAGTACAGTAGTTTCGGTTTCCATCATTTCTCAATCATAAGGCTCAGCTCAGCTGATAGATAAACTTCTGCTCAGCTTGAAATCAGGATTCATTCAGTCAATTCAGTCAACCCTAGTATACAGTCTGAGAACAGTCTCTCTTAGTGAAATATATTAGGCTTTTAGTACAATTTATATGTTCCCTTCCCTACCTCGCAAAGATCATGCTGGAGTAGTAAACTCTAAATCTAGAGGACTGTTCATCTATATCTTGGTATAGTTGAATCGGGAATTCCATATGGAAATTACGTATGATACGCCAGTGACCTCAATATAACCTAAAAAACAACAAATGTCAAAAATCTAGTGTTTTTCCCCAGAATTGAATAAGGATGGAACTATATAACTGTTTCACAAACACTTTAGAGTGAGAGGAGACGAGGATCTGTCCGTACCCTGTTAGGATGACTTTAACGTCAATTTCCATCAAGGGACCCTAGATTTATGCACATCGTTCTTTATATACAGCGTGTCTCACTTTGAACGGCACCCTCTATATCTTAGCTATTTGTCGAGCGATTCTTACCAAATTGGGATCGGTACGAGGATCGGTATGAATAACCATCAACATGATCAGTTTTTCAGGGACGAACATCAATTTGGACAGTGCGTGCGTTCTTATTGGAATAAAAAGAGACTCATTTTTCACTAAATTGTTTGTGAATTCCTCGATGAAATCATATTTGGAATATTTTTTCAAAAAAACATCGACAAAAACTTCATATTATTGTTCCCCATGCTCTCGAACCTCAATATTCAAAAAATCACGCAGATAAAAAGATTTTTTCAATCAAAAAAATTAAATTGCTCCATATACATACACTCGTCTCAATCGATTGGCTTGCTTGCTTTGTTTTTCGAAATTTCTGAATATGAATTCGTTCAACGTCAACCTGGCCAGGATTGTCTTTTATGAATGAGTCAAGGAAGTTCTATCGAACAAATATTAGGTTCGACCAATTCAAGAGCGCCATTTGGTTTGAATCGAGGGTTGAATGAATGTTTTTTTTTGCATTGAATCAAGAAATCCCGAGAAATCCTTATTATCCGTGCACCTAATTCCGAAGGATTAGCTTAATTCATATTTTTCCGTTGACCTTCAAAAATTCCACAAATTTGCATTGAAAACTCGATCTATCAGGATCAGGACCCTATCTAGAAAAATTGTGCACTTAATTTCAACCCGATTAGTATATATGCGTATGTGTCTTACGAGGGGCGAACCGCAGACGAAAATTTGTACACCAGACTTCACATTTTCCTAAGACTTCACTGACTTCATCGGGACTTCACTGACTTCATCATGACTTCACTGACTTCATCATGACTTCACTGACTTCATCGAGACTTCAGTGAATTCATCGTGACTTCACTGACTTCATCAAGACTTCACTGACTTCATCAAGACTTCACTGACTTCATCGAGACTTCAGTGACTTCACTGGTACTTCTTGGGACAAGATTCTCATTGAGATATCACGACAATCATTGAAAATGCAATTTCGTTGAGGAGTGACGTCATTATGTAGTTCAGTAAACGAACAAAAATTAGGGGAAAATTAGTAGTCGCAAATTTCTGTAGAGTGAAGAAAGAAAGTGCTATTAACAACAAACAGTCCTGATCCCTAGGGGTTGAGCGGGGCAGTAGGATAACGTTTGAAGGTCATTTTTTCAAGTTGTTCTTGAATAATTCGACAATCGCGGAAAAATGAAAGTATACAAAGTTGAACAACATAAAATTTTCTATGAAAAAGTTTTTATTCACTTTTCGTCTATATAGAATGAATTGTTTCTGAGATACAGGGAGAGAAAAAATCGAGAAGTATCAAAAATAGAGTTTAATGGTTTGGAATTCATGTTCAATGTCTCAAATCATGAAATTAGTGTTCAACGTGGCTAATAACAAGAAGAAAATTTCATTCTTGAAAGCAAACATTTTGAATGTATACTTTCCAATAATTGTCAATTATAATAATCATCTTCGTCCATATTTTCCATATCCAGCAACGGTGCACTTTATATACATATATACGTACTGAGCGATCCATCTTCCCTCCATATTTTCATCCAGTTGAACGCAAACGTGAAGAATACTGTGATGTTGAAGGCTGCTGATCTGAATGAGCTTCTCCCAGATTTTTTTCAACTCAGTCAACTTTGATATTCTCATTTATGCAAGATGGTTGAACAGCACCTTGTGTTTTGTTCTTGAAACCTCCAATTTTCATACTTGCACTGAAAATGTTCCCCAGGAATCTGTGCTGTCATTCAATCACTAGCAATACCAGTCAAACGAACTAGACAAGTCCAGTCAGCACATTATTTCGTCTTCAATATTTTGTTTTTGTAATGTATAATGTTTGGTTTATTTTGGCATGATATTTCCTCCGATATTACGCTGGGATAATTCGATGGGAGTCAAGTTATAACTCGAAGAAGGGTCACTCGGATTGAAGCGAGGATAGAAGACTGTTGTATTTCACTGGTACGTATTTATTACGATTTTCAATATAAGGATTCATCGAGATTTCACTGACTTCATCATGACTTCACTGACTTCATAGAGACTTCACTGACTTCATCGAGACTTCATCATGACTTCACTGACTTCATCGTGACTTCACTGACTTCATCGAGACTTCTTCAACGTGTACACCAGACTTCATTAGCGGTTCGCCCCTCGGTGTCTTATTTTATCCTATCAAAATGTTGTTACATGCCTCGTTACATGCATTCTTTTCATTTTTATGACTGTTGTTCAGCGAAAAGTATATGGATATAAATTGATGTGGGTGTTTATATAAACCTCGGTTTATACCCTATTCCTCTTTTCCATCTACGACCATGATTGATTTTACAGAAAATCTAACCTCAAAAATCGTATCTGACAATCAGGCGCTACTAGGGAAATTGAAAAGAGAGGAGAATATACAGGGCTTATCTAAATAACACCAAAAAATATCAAGTGGTGATTATTTGTGATATTTTAAGAAATAAAGTTTATATAAACATGTGTCCTAACTTGCTTCGTTTTCGAGATACCTACAGGGTATTAGTATTTCCATGAAAAATCGGTTTTTTATTCAGTACTCAATTGTCTTTCCATCAATCTCAATGAAACGTTGTGGTTTTGTTCATATCATTATGAAGCTTCTTCTGGTGCAATTAGATTCGAAATAATATGTCCAGTGGCATCACAGTGGGTAAATTTATCCATATTTATGGTGAATGTCATTGTACGCCACCGGTCTTTCTGAGTTTTATATTTTTATTAGTTCGAACTATCGAAATTACCCTCGAAATTACCACTTTTTATCCTCTATGTAATTTTCGTATCTAGCTTGATTTTTGAGGAAACAATAAAAATTCGATGTGACTCCAAATTTTAATGCGAGTTTTAATGTAGGCGTGTTTTCAAGACTTCCATCTTAGATTGAACAAACAAATACATCAAGATTACTCAGTAAACCCAATTAGAATCATTTTGAAATTTTGGGGCTCTCTGTTTCTCCAACTATACTGAATTTTGGCACCGTGGAAGCTTATACAGGGGGGTTATGTCGAGGGGTAAATCTCCTTGGAAGTCTGGTGTACACTCCGTTGGAAGTCTTTGGAATTCTTTGGATGTCTTTGAAAGTCTTTGGGAGTATTTGGATGTCTTTGGTAGTCTTTGGATGTCTCTGGAAGTCATTGGATGTCTTTGGAAGTCTTTGGAAGTCTTTGGAAGTCTTTGGAAGTCTTTGGGAGTCTTTGGAAGTATTTGGAAGTCTTTGGATGTCTTTGGAAGTCTTTGGAAGTCTTTGGAAGTCTATGTTAATTGGAAGTCTGGTGTACACATTTTTCCTGGAGATTTACCCCTCGGGTTATGTATAAAAACAATTAATACTTCCAACTTCAACATCCTGTATCTCAAAAACGGAGCAAGTTAGGTTACATGTTTATGTGAAATGTATTTGCTAGAATATCACAAGGTATCACCCCTTGAATTTTTTCGGTGTTATTTAATAATAATAATAATAATAAACGCCTTTTACTTGCATTTACAGTATGAACTTTATAGTAAACTGCTGGCGAAGTCTAGCTTAAAGCTATTCTACTTAACCAACAGGGGGCCAAAGCCCAAGAGAAATAATTTCCATATACATAAAAGAAAAAAACAACAGTGGTATGTCTAACAGTATTCACTATAACTATTTCGGTAATGTTGGTCAGACGAGTGGTCAGACCGAAAATGTAGGATTATTGAAATTTATAGAATTAGAACAATTCATGAACGAATGAAAGAGTGCACATTTATATAATTAATATTACTAAACGGGGATGAGAGTACAATGAATGCTTGATGCTATAGGTGGAACAATCTCGCTGTAGTATATTATACAGAAGCGGTTAAGAATGATACATTAAGATACATACAGGGTCGCTGATATGTATGGAAACAGGTGGATATCTCGGTAACCAGTCGTTAGATTTTTTTGAATTTATGTACAGTGTGATTTCAAAATGTGGAGGATTTGGAAATGTTATAGCCAATGTTGCCACTTTTTCAGTTATTCCGGATTTTCATTAACTTCCTCATTTTGAATAAAACATCCTGTACTTTATTGGATTTTCAGATACTCCTTGAAGAGCTGATTCCATTGATCTATCACACTTGGGGTCTAGCGGGAATGATTACATAGGTATAGGGTGTTTGAAATCTAGATTTTTCAATTTCAGGATTTTTTTGTGTCGAAACCGGTCGAAACTATCCATTATCGATGAAAACCGCTTTAATGTTCCTGTCTTTACTTTTGATTTAGTATCTACTGACATTTAAATGGAACAGATACAGAGGGTGATCGGAATTCTGAATCTTGAACCACCCTGTATTTGTTCCAATTAAATGTCAGTAAATTATAAATCAAGATTAAAGATAGGAACATTGGAGCGGTTTCCATCGATAATGGATAGTTTCGACACAAAAAATCCTAAAGTTGAGAAATCTAGATTTTAAACACCCTATACCTATGTAATCATTCCCGCTAGACTCCCAAGTGTGATAGATCGATGGAATCAGCTCTTCAAGGAGAATCTGAAAATTCAATAAAGTTCTGGGTGTTTCATTCAAAATAAGGAAGTTAATAAAAAATCCGGAATAACTGAAAAAGTGGAAACATTGGCTATAACCTCGGCTATAACATTTCCAAATCCGCCACGTTTTGAAATCACACTGTATATAAATTCGAAAAAAATCCAACAACAGGTTACTAAGATATTCACCTGTTTCCATACATATCAGCGACCCTGTATATGTCATATTCTTTTATTCACTGAACCAATGTAAAATAGAAAATGAAAAAGGACAGAAGTTCAGCTGTGTCCGAACTCTTATCTACTAATACCGAGACTAATGCCATCCGCAGTGACTCTAGCTAAACCTACTCGCGCAAGAAACATTCGAAGAAGTTTGTTAGGGTGTAACGGTGTAACTCGGGGTGTAATCAACGAACACTCATCGAAGTCCAACGGGACGATATGTGCCCCGCGAGGGTGGTAATCTCTGCGACATTAAATGAAGCACGGATTCGTTCAAGTGCCCACCTATCAGATCACTCGATATTAGCACTTTCAGTGCCAAACGACTGCCAAATCACTGACCTGATCCGCAGTACGTATCAATCGTCTATAGATCGATGATGGGATTAGACTCGGAATTATATTGTATGGCCACGACCGATTGTCGGATATTAGTTCAGTGCAATCAGCATGGATCATTCAATTTAAATTTTTGCATTGCTATATTTATCACGAACACTCCTATTTGGCCCCAAAAAAATTGGCAGAAATAATATAAGTATTTTTTCCACCACTATCTATTTTTGAGTGTCACTACTCCATTTACTGTTCTGTACCCCTAATGCAAAACATGGATTCCAAACTGAAAGAGTGTGGTTTCGACAATCTGGTCGAAGAATTCGAAGGTAAGTTATTATTCTTTCTGGTTAACAGTGTTTATTTTACAGACTCGAATGAAACATTTGAACCTATAATATATTCCGAAGGATGGAAAAATTCGGAAAAATTATTCTGAAAAATGGTAAAAATATGAACGAGTATATTTTCGATCAAAACTACACAGATAAAAAAGATTTCTTCGATCAGTCAAATCCATTTTCATGAAGTTGAATTACTTCGTACGAGAATTTTTCATTTGAGTGGAGCAATATACACTTGTCTCAATTCAATCGGCTTGCTTGCTTCGTTTCTTGAAATTTCTTGATATGAATTTTCTCAACATAAACAGTATATTTCTTAATTCAAGAAAACCGCGACTAAATCCGGGACATAAATTCCAATTTATATTGGTTGAAGAAAATCTCTGCTTGTCTAACAGACTTGCAGTGACGTATATTCAGCGGTACGCCTGCGCTCATTCGACAAAACATTTTTTGCTCTCTCTAGGTTTTTGTGGTTCAACATTCAAGCCATTTCAATCACAGTGATATTCTGGGGAAGAAGACGAGGACAGCAGATCAAAAAATTCTAGAACAATAGTATTTGATGATTTTACTATATGTATATGTTTTCATTTATTTTATTCATATCTTCATTTTTGTTATGTTATAATAGGATGATCAGGTTTCGATAATAAAGCCTTTTGTTTATCAAGTGTATAAGAATTAATTATATTCAATGCTCAATACTCTAATCTCGACTCTAATAGTAAGCTATATTTTGATTTTATTCAAAATTATAATCTCTTGACACACGAAAATGAGGATTTTATGAAAAAATATTCACTTATTATAATGAGATATTTTCTATTTGTATAACAAGCTCGGAATTACTTGATTCAAGTACTAAATTGTTCAAATATGATGGGAGATTATTTTCTTGTTTCAAACTTATCAATTCTTCCTTCGACCAATACGTAATGTGAAAATAAAGAAATATCGAAATATCCATTTGAATCAAGATTTTCTTTCATGAATGAGTCAAGCGAGGAGTCAAGAAAGCTCTGTAGAAAAATCAAACAAATATTTGGTTCGACCTATGGACCGCCATATGATTGAATCAATGCTGTTCCACATTCAATCAAGAAATCCATTTTATCTGTGCACGATCAAAACTATGCAAAGTAATAATAGAATACCTCTTTTTTTGGTTAATGCGGATACATTTTCTATGATACCTCAAACGGAGTTTGAAAGAGCAGAAGAAAAAATAAAACATTCGTTTTTTGAAGATAGTGCTGCTATTTATTTCAGACCCTATATCAGTCGGAAATTTCAGTGGATGATACCCTCGATGATACCATATTTCTGGTAATACCTAACATATGATTTTCTCCGTGTGAAACACTTTGCATACCGTTGCATACCGAGCTGCATACTCCTAGGATTCACCTCGGATACATTCTATCAAATTTTCTTCCATTTTTTTTTGCTTTTTCGCGCAATCAAAACGTGACGGAACGCGCCCTGAGGTATTCTGGAATACGTAAATTCCGATATATTGTGCGAGCGAGCACCCTCTACCCCCGTCTCCGCCCTTAAGTAAAAATATATGTATCGAGTATTGGAATCGAATCCGGGGCCCGACACTCTCGATACATTTTAAATTCGCATTCGTAACTACGGAAAATAACTCCGGAACGATGCGAGAAAAATGTTCCGGGGACGATGACAGTAGCGGTTTTCACCGCGAGGGTCCTTCAGTTCTTGTTTCTTCATCCTGATTTTTCAAAACGACATCATCGAGAACTCTGCACATCTCAAAACACTACCAGTAAATATAATTTTGAATTTTTTCATTCGCACTAGGACGAATGAAAAAAAGAATTACCATAATTTTCATTTCAAAACACACACTTTCTGCGCCATTTGAAATGGTGTAAATTGATTGGTGTGACTGGTGTGATGTATTAGTTGCAACACGCCTATATTGTCCTTGAGCTGACCAATCACATTGCAACACTGCAGAATGGCTAGGTATCAGATAGAGATAGCTACAGTTCGGGACTAATACGTCACGGCTTCATCTTTATATGGCTTTTTGATGGAATATGCTCGGATTTTCGGTGGACCAAAAGTAAGGAAAAAACAGCTCAACTTAAGCTGCAAAAAATCCAGAGATTTGCGTGTCTTGAGATCACAGGGGCTATGCGTACGTGCCCTACTGCAGCAATGGAAGCTATGCTTGATCTACTACCCTTGCATCATTCATCAAGAGGACTGCAGCTACCAGCGCATACAGACTAAATTCCACTGAAATGGCTAAACCAGGTGATGGCACTGGTCACATGGCCATTCTACAAGAAGTACAAATGAAATCTGCAACCAAACCATCGGACTCAATGCCAGCAAGATTCAGTTACGATCCTGCCTTTGAAGTGGTTATAAAATGTTGTCCCTTGTTTGGTTCACTGATGGTTCGAAATTGGAAGAAGGGGTAGGCGTTGGTGTATATGAACCCGGATGTAGGCAATTTGAAGCCTTAGGTCACTCCTCTACTATTTTCCAAGCTGAAATTCATGCCATCAACCTATGCCTGAGCAAAGGTCTGAGGGGTGCCAACATATATATCTGCTCAGATAGCCAAGTCGCACTGGAAGCCCTGAAATCATTTGTTGTCAGTTCAAAGATTTCATGGGACTGCTTTGAAACACTCATGCAACTGGGAAAGGACAACAAAGTCACACTTATGTGGGTTCCAGGGCATGAAGGAATCAAAGGAAATGAGGCAGCTGATGGCCTTGGTCCTGAGCCTTTTTGTGGAATAAGCAAATGTCACCTAATGGAAGAACTCAGGAAATGGGAAGAAATTGATAAGTCCTCCTAAAAGGTTGGTCAACCATTCGCAGAACCGAGCCAAAGAGCTACTCAGCCTCAGCAAATCAGAGCTAAAGCTCATCACAGGCTTTCTCACAGAAGAAGATGGGCTTGGCGGAGACTGACACTTGCCGCTTTTGCAACAATGCGACCAAAACCGCGGAGCACATACCTTGCTCATGCAAAGTATTAGTCCACCAAAGGCTGAATCACCTAGAACAGGTCCATCTCACACCTGCTGAGGCGAAAAATTTAACCGTCAGGAATATTCTAGGCTTCATCCGTGATAACTAAAAACATTCCTTGATATTTCAAAGAGGAAGGACTTTCAGTAATTTCCAAAGATGAAGTTATACTGCTAAAGACTTCTGAAATCTTCTGGTAACAACCAAAATGTTGAATAAGCGAGTTTCGAAAACTTCCAGTGGTATCCAGAGATCATCTAGGATTTGTAAAGTTTTTCAGTGA